TTTTTCAACAGATTTGATTTACAGCCAGCCTGTTGTCAGTTCAAAAGTTCATCGTCAGTTTGAAAGACAATTCAAAGTTTCCTCCGACCTCAGTGTCTGTCTCCGTCACATTAGAAACATAAAGTTGGAAGTAGATTAATAATAAATACTGAGACTCTATAATATCATCTGGTCTTTGACGGGAGAGGATTAGGGCCACATGGGAAACATTCCTTTCACTGCTGAGTTTAAAGTCAGAATTGGGAACTTTTAATATTCTGTTTTCATTCATTTGAACAAAACATGAGTTGATGTTGTTTTGTAGAGAATGTGACGTCAACAGTGGGCGGGACCATAGCAGAGCTCAGCCAATGAGCAGCGTCGGGGCCAGGCAGCAGTTGAACTGAACTACAGTTGAGTTTGAGGTTTTACAGAAAATAAAAATAAAGAATAGATGAAATAAAAATGTTCCTGTTTAAATGGAAAAGTTTAATGAATTAAATAAAAACAATATGTCTCCCAAAATAAAATCATGTTTATGATTAACACGCAGAGTGAACACGAGGTATCAGTCCTCAATCAATTGGAGGATTTATTGATTATTTGTTTGGTTTTCTTGTAATAAACATTTAAATTGAGTTCAAAATATCTTCAATATATATTCCGAGTACACGGTGGATGAAAATATGTGAAATGTTTTAAACCGTTAATGTAAAGCTGGTGATGTTCTTTAATGTGTCACAAAGCTGGAAACTCTTAATGTAAAGAGAATATAATTAAACATGGATAGATCTGTCGTCTGCGTGCACTAAATAATTCCCTCAAATGAAACCAGAACATCCATTTCACTGGAACACGCTTTTATTATGAAGTCATACACACCACCAGAGGTCAGAGTTCAACCTCATGATAACAGTCTCTTCAACAGGACTCTGCTGATTCATAGCAAGTTACATATTCACTGATCAAGACATTAAACTACGATCATTAAAAACATTATAAAAGATTTAAATTCAAGTTAAAAACAAGTTTAATCGTTCAGGCTACACTGAGCAAAGTTAAGAGCTCACTGATTGAGTTTGTGTTATTAATGCAGAGGATTTAGAGTTATCTGTTGTAGTTTTGTTACATAAGAATAGGCTTTTATTAAGTGTCATTAAGAGAGTATTCTTGTAGTATTACCACTCTATAAGGTCCAGACTGAGCCTCCTTACTGACTATCAGCAGTGATTAGGAGGTTGTTGAGGGATCAGCTGCAACAGAACAGACGACGTGAGTTTGGTGAAACAGGTGAACTGATTTATTCAACATGTCAAACCTCACAGGGTCAACTTTCACCCTGTAGGTTCAGACACACACTGAAATACGTCCAAACATGTGAACGTACAATAAAGTATAAAGATATAAGATAAGGTGAAGAATGAACACATTGACAATAAGGCAGACTGCTGATCAGCTCCTACTACAGACATACAAGAATCAGACAATATCCACACAAGAGCCAAAATGCTTCATCCCACTTCAGGGAGAGTTCCCCATGAGAACCACACCTCAGTTTCCAGATGTAGAAATTATGAATACGTACAAATAAACATGCAACAACAAATAAAAAGGTATTTATAAAAGAAGAATACATTTAAAATGATCTATGAGATTATATTCAGACCAATTAATAGTTTGGTTGATGCAGTATTTAATCATAGCGGTTAGTGACACAAACACCGAGCTGTTGCCGCTGGTTCACTCAGAGTATCGGAGCCGTCTCCAGAGCTCTGACTCGAGCAGCGAAGACCAGAACTCTCTTCTCCACTTCGGCGTTGATGACGGCCTGCGAGGCTCGCGGGTTCTCACGGAGGAACTGTGAGATACTCAGGATACACTCTCTCTGAGGACACACACAGAATATCAATCAGAGAGGGTTTTATCCACTGCAGTACGGCAGGCAGCGCCCCCTACAGGCAGCGCCCCTACAGGCAGCGCCCCCTACAGGCAGCGCCCTCTACAGGCAGCGCCCCCTACAGGCAGCGCCCCCTGCTGGCAGCGCCTCTACAGGCAGCGCCCCCTACAGGCAGCGCTCTACAGGCAGCGCCCCTACAGGCAGCGCCCCCTACAGGCAGCGCCCCCACAGGCAGTGCCCCCTGCTGGCAGCGCCTCTACAGGCAGCGCCCCTACAGGCAGCGCCCTACAGGCAGCGCCTCTACAGGCAGCGCCCTACAGGCAGCGCCCTACAGGCAGCGCCCTGCAGGCAGCGCCCCCTGCAGGCAGCGCTCCCTACAGGCAGTGCCCCCTGCAGGCAGCGCCCCTACAGGCAGCGCCCCTGCAGGCAGCGCTCCCTACAGGCAGTGCCCCCTGCAGGCAGCGCCCCTGCTGGCAGCGCCTCTACAGGCAGCGCCCCCTGCAGGCAGCGCCCCTACAGGCAGCGCCCCACAGGCAGCGCCCTACAGGCAGCGCCCCCTACAGGCAGCGCCCCTTGCAGGCAGCGCCCCTGCAGGCAGCGCCCCTACAGGCAGCGCCCCCTACAGGCAGCGCCCCCTGCAGGCAGCGCCCCCTGCTGGCAGCGCCCTGCTGGCGGCACACACATACCTTGTAGGCATCCACTTCGTCCTGGCCGGTGATCCGGTTCAGGAGCTCTCTGCCGACCTGGATGCCCGTCACTGCCGTCAGAATCGTCCGGTCCTCGTCAGACTGAGAGGACAGCCAGCGCAGCAGCGCCATCTGCAGGACGGAGGAAGACATTTTAAACAGGATCTTTATCGGTCACTGAGGAGCACTTCGCTGTTACTGTCACTGCGACAGTCTGTGTGACAGTCGGATTCTTTAACGGCCTCTCTCCGTCTGCAGTCACACTGTTTCCTCCAGTTAACTCAACAAATGTCTCCCTTTACTCTCAGTGGTGAAGAGGAGGAGGAGGAGGAGGAGGAGGTCCCAGTGGGGCTCCCCTTCAGTAAAACTACACTGTGAACCTTTCATAACTCAAATGTTACTTCAGTAAAAGTCCGTCAGTACTTCGGCCTGTTGCTGCTATTGTATCTCACAGGGCAGCCTACAAACAACTAGTAAAGGAGGTTTTATATAAGATATACATTAATATAATATGTATATATGCATATTATATTAATATTTATATTAACATACAAACATTAGTATAATATGTATATTTATTATTATAATACATTATAGTAACAGATAAATATTAGTACATTATATCTGAGTTCAGATCCCTGTAGACTTTATTAAAGTAGTTTTAGACACTTTGTAATAAACTAATAATTTATGAATATATTCTTAATAATCTAAATTGATCGAAGCTCCTTTAAACCTTATAAACTCACATTAACTGATCACATGGAGGTTTATTGTTTGTCCTCATCATCATCAGTGTGAATCTGTGAGCTCAGATAATCAATATCAATCAATATCAATCAACATTAATCAATATCAATCAACATTAATGAACATTAATCAACATTAATGAACATTAATGAACATTAATGAACATTAATGAACGTTATTGTGTTTTCTGTCTCACCTGTTGGATTAAATGAGCGTTGGTCATTTCTCCTCCTGAGGTCCCTGAACGCGACATTACTGCCAATAAACCACAAAAACACCAAACAGCGGAAGTTATGATGAAAACTGAAACGTTGAAACTTCTTCTGTGGCCGGTAATTAAAGATAAAGTAGATATTTTACAGATAAATGATTCCGTCGACTGGGGGACGTAAAAAGTGGCACTTCCTGTTTACATCTGCTTCTTCTTCTTCGGTGTCCTCTCGGAGACTCAGTGTCTGATTCAAACCGCTGCTGCCACCAGCGGCCAGAACAGGTTACTACACCCACCACGTTACTGCACTGGAAGAAGTAGAGTCAAGTTTGTAGAGATTAGACTGATATTGTAATAATGTTCGACATGTTATTGTGCACCGACACCAATATCCTTTTACTTTGGTTTAGTTTTATGTATACTATACTATATACTATATTCATTTCTGTGTGGAGAACATTGTGCCCTCCAAGTTGATATGGTGTTTTCCCAACAATAAACCCTGGGTGACCTCTGAGATTAAGGCCCTGCTGAATGAGAAGAAGAGGGTCTTTAGATCGGGGGACAAAGAGGACCTGAAAGGGAAAGGACAGCTACAGGAGGACACTGGAGAAGCAGCTGGAACAAAACAACGCCAGGGATGTCTTGAGAGGGCTGCAGAACATCTCAGACCCCGGAAAAGGAGTGGGAAGAAACCAAACCAGCGGGGACAAGGACTGGGCAGATGAACTTAATCTGTTTTTCAACAGATTTGATTTACAGCCAGCCTGTTGTCAGTTCAAAAGTTCATCGTCAGTTTGAAAGACAATTCAAAGTTTCCTCCGACCTCAGTGTCTGTCTCCGTCACATTAGAAACATAAAGTTGGAAGTAGATTAATAATAAATACTGAGACTCTATAATATCATCTGGTCTTTGACGGGAGAGGATTAGGGCCACATGGGAAACATTCCTTTCACTGCTGAGTTTAAAGTCAGAATTGGGAACTTTTAATATTCTGTTTTCATTCATTTGAACAAAACATGAGTTGATGTTGTTTTGTAAGTAATCTGATTACACTGATGTTTCTTTCTTGGCTTTAAAAATAGATTGAGTGAGTAAATTGTGCCACCTTTTAATATAAAGTTTAATCCAAAAGAAACTGTCTTCAAAATGCTGAAACTGTGTCATCAGGAGACAAACTTTACTAATTAAAGCCGTTAATGATCCTGCTTTTAGAGTCAAACATTGTATAGTTGTATATATCCACTGTACCCAGTGCTTTCATTGGTTCAGTTTTTAAAACAATCAGTCTTCAGTTGAAGTGTTTGATTCTTCTGATGAGTTATTTCTCTCTGTAAAACTGTTTGAATGGAGTTTGGTTTTGCTTCAGTCTTTAATTCTTACATTGCTTCTTCATATGAGATAGAAATGATTCACAATGTAGATTAATGTGTGTCGTCTTCATAAAAAGATAAATATGTTCTATAGTGTATATATGGTCAATAACATGAATGATCAGTGGAAATGTCCAGTTGGTGATGGACATAAAGCAAACTATTTAGTGGAATCGGATGTTTTCTGAATCAACTGTATCTTTATAAAATGTGCATCAGATGGATGATGATTCACATGTGTCATTAAATCAAAAGCAGCTTTTATTCTGAATTTTGTGTCTGAGGTTGTTTTCTTTATCTGTCAATGTGAGTTTAAAAAGAGGAGAAAGAAAGGCAGAAAGGAGGATAAATACACATTGATGGACACACTGTCTTCCTATAAACACCACAAGATGGAGACAAAGTACACATTTTGTTCACAGCTCATTTTAAACACTTTGAACCTTTTATTTCCTCACTGTGTCAGTTATTTACATCAGAGGAGTTTTATTAACACTGGACAAAGAACACAGGATGGTCTTTACAGTCTGATTCTGATGTGTCAGCAAATATCTGACTTATGACTGATGGATCAAACATCATTAGGGACAAAGAGTTGCACAAAAAAATGTTTTCTTGTGTTGAGAGAAATATTCAGTGGACAGAGGGTGGCAGAAATATCTGCTGATTTAGTCACAAATAACCACATAGCCTATGTCAATATTTCCTTGGTAAAGCCCCAAAGTGAAAATATTTGAACTCAGCAATAATATTGTGGCACACTACATTGACTAGAAATATCGGAAAGTTTCATTAGAAATCACTACTTTGGTTTATTTCCAAATCTTCACACATTTTTTCAAATACATGTTTTTTTTCATTAAACGTAATCCAAACACTGAGTCTAAAATGTGGCCATAACAGATCATTAAATCTTTAAATGTTTTTTTTAAATGAATCTAAATTAAATAGTTAAATATGACAGCATTTCACACACTGTGGTGGTAAGACATCTAGATCTGCTCCTGTTGGTATGTGAGAGCTCACCAACTAAACATGATCTGTAGAACAGTTACAATCTGCTAAACTAACAGAAACAACAAAGTTTTTCGAATGATATTTACTCAACATTACAATGAACCACTGATCTGATCCCTGAACCCTAGAGTCCAAATAAAGCTTCAATATCAGCCTCTTAGAGACAGTAATCTGTTGCAGCTTGTTCTTCATTATAGTTAAAGTGTTTCTGTTATTTTTCCACTGCTGTATTATCACAATCATTTTATTTGATGGCTGCTTTCTGATCCAATCCACTCCTCCTCCACTGTGTGTTTTACTGTTGTTGTCCAGCAGGTGGAGCTCTATCATCAACTACATTAAAGACTTCATTACCTGATGCCACTCAGGTACAACAGGTGTGTGCAGTTGGTCAAAGTCCACCGTTCACAGTGAGATCTGAGACTGTGGAAATGTTTCAATGTGTTCAGAACTTTGAACAGCAAAAATTAGGATCCATCAACCTCCACTATATTGTATCGGAGGCAGAAACCAAATAAAACCAGGAGATATAAAATACTGTGTGTGCAGTGGTGGAAGAAGTATTCAGTAGAATTATAATGTAAATATACTCCATTATTAATGAAAATACTTGGTTCCCTGTCATGTTTTGCTAAGTCATAGGATCTTTATGGGAATTCTACCAGGGTTAATAAATATATTGAATTCATCTGAAAGTGTTCTGGGGGGAAGAGAGATCATTTTCACTTCCACATTATTCCTGGGAAGCGTGCAGAGTGAAGATAGAGGAGACCTCCACTGCCTGCTGCTGCAGTGTTTTTGCTAAAAACCTCCAAAGGACGTGACCTTTCAGTTTATATGCTCCGTTACGCCTCAGCTGTGGTTGAAAACGTGTCTTCTCTGCACGTATCTAACCAAGAGTTCCTGTCCCTTCACTGTGAGACACACTGATAAAGAAACACAACTTCTGTTCTATTAAAAGAAATGCACAATGTTTTCAGACTAAACACTACACAGTTAAATGAGCTGTTAGTATTATATTTGTCTTTGAGGTTTTCAGTTAAATTGTCTTCATAGTGAGTCTTTTACACAATGGCGGCTGGCCAATAGAGGGCGCTGCCTGCCCCCCTTGAGCCACAAAAATAAAAAATAAATAAAAAAATTAAAATTAATAATAATAATAATAATAATAATGATAAAAATATCAGTATGTCAATATTTGTGTGTTTGAAATATGGAATGCAGCCAGTAATATGTGTAAAATATCCTCTGCCTGTCTGAAGCTTCATCAGCTCTGGCCGATAGAGAAAGCGCCCCCAGGAGGGGGTCTATGTAGCAGTTAAACCAATTGCTAATTTAAGATATGAATGTATGACATCAAATTTAGCCAATCAGCATCCTTAAATCGAATCCAAGAAGGGCGATTATTTTATCGCCCCAAGCTCGCCTCTGATAAAATAAGGACCGGGCTCTAGGGCCGCGAACGATACTCCTCCAAGACCCAACCCTAACTCGGTGAAATCTCTCCTCCAAGACCCGTTTGAGAGGAGAACTTTGTTGGAGAAAGTTGGGGTGAAAGAGCTGGGCCCAGATCAACCTGAGCTCTCAATCAGACAGCAGGCTAGAGAGAAAGGGAAGCAGTATATGGCGGCGGCTTCTCCCATAGCCGGTACACCGGGAAGGCTTGGCTAGCTGGGTGCACTCATGCTTTTTAAAAGGACGGGGACAGATCCAGCATGGACAGTTACCGGAGTGAGGGATATGAAGCACCTGTCAGAGAAGGTAAAGAAACATGAGAACACCAGGGCACACATAGATAACTCTGTAAAGCTAGCCATATAAGGAAGGGTGAACATCACTACGCAGCTGGATGACGGCCACAGGATTGTGGTGAGGAAACATCATGAGGAAGTGGATAAAAACAGCCACAGTTTATCCAGAATTATCAACTGTGGGAAGTTTTGTGGGACTTTTGAGTTGGCCTTGTGTGGGCATGACGAGACTGACTCGACTCCTCGGACAACCCCGCAGTTTCCCGGGCTTGGTGGATTTTGTTGCCTCCATTGACAGTGTGCTGGAGGAGCACCTGAACACAGCTACCAGCTGAGGGCAGTCAAAGACGACACAGAACCAGCTGTTGGACTGAAACAGTCAGTTCAGTTCAAGGTGCTGTATTTGTTTTACCCTTTATCTATCCAGATAAAACATTAAGAACAGTTTCTGTATGATGTTTATTAGACCTATGTAATCTGAATTGGAAGGGCACGTTGTCATGAGCTGTATCTTGTATATTTATTATCAGCTATGTGGTATGTGTATGCACCTTTATGTAATCTGGTGGAAAAACATTAACATTTAAAACCGGATCATACCAAACAAATATCTGCTGTGTGTCCCTGTGTATGCAAAGTGTCCTCCTTTTGATGTGAAGGAAATGGCCACCCTAACACAGAGCAACCGTCGATAACTTCACTTAATATGTAATATATATATATATAATTCTTCGTTGTACATGTTTGTACAGTTATTAAATACATTTTTGAGCACTTTCAGAATGTATTAGTGTAAAAATCCTTTGAATGGGGAGGAGTGGTGACATTTACAGTGTTGAAAAAAAGTATCAAATAAAGTACTCAATTGGTATCGGTACTGGTATCGAACGTTTTTAAACGATACCCAGCCCTACTGACTATTTCACTGAGCACTGGTGTCCTGCAGTTTGTGTTAAATTGTATTGCGATGGTTACAGAAACAAAAAAGTATGGCACAGCCCCACTGAGAATATTTTCCACCAGCCGCACTGTGACCTGTTGGCTGAAAAATAAACTGGTTCAGTGTCAGCCTGTTGAAAT